TCCCCCCATGTTGTCTTGTTAAGTAGAGCTGTCTAGCATTGGTAGTAAAGATGTCAGAGGCTGATATACTCTGGCATTCATACATTTATTGATCTCATCATTAAATCTTCATCACTGAGTGTGTAACTGTGTGTGGATGTATATGTTATCAGTGTGTTTGTGTGAGTGTGCACGTACCCGTTACTCTTGTTTTACTACATTACTCTTCGCCCACTTGCTAAAAGCTGATCACAACAATGATGTCATGCTTAACAGGGAGCAAAAAGCCCTGTAACAACACTTTGATGATTATATGTGCATGTTCATGTCCTTTTGAGGGGGGGGGGTGTATGATGCGTGTCATCGATCCTTAATGTCTAACCTTGTTCACACAACGGAGGGATAAAGAAGCGATAATTTGAAATGTTACAAAGTAAGGGTGTTCGATTGCACTGTGATTTGAAAAGTGGCCTCTTTTGAGATGGAGGTCATAGATTTACTTTAGCTTATTACTGTAAAACACATAGTTGTGAGACCTATGGTCATAGGATGTCTTCACAACACAATGTGTGTATTGTAGATGCAGCGCTGTCCAAAGTACTGAAACGGAGCAACAAGCACAGTTTGTTAATTTGCTTGATTTCCGTGGTGGTAAATAAAAGTTTTCCTCCTTATTCCATTTTCCTTCCATTGTAGCAATCCACAGACGGAAGAGACACAACAACAGAGAGAGCTGTAAACCTCAAACAGCTGTTATACACGCCGCAAACACCTGTTTCTACGTGCTCTCTCTGCTAATTTTAAAGAAATGTTCATGAATTAAAATATCTAGTGCTCTGATAGTGCTTTGTTTTTATGTGAATGCTCTGATCAATACATGTAAGTTTGATGTTGAACAGTAGCCGTATGTTGTTATATAGTCTTTCTTAGGCTGTCATTAAGATGCTGCTCCGATGGTCCCGCAAATTTGGACGTGCAACTTGGTCTACTATGGTTATCACACACACTAAGCAGATTGATTGAAAGCACATGAGTAGTTTTCAAAATTGTTTCAGTAGTATTAATAATAGGCTGATATCTATAACAAAATAGCTATACCTATTTATCGTGATTTATTGAAGTCGGCACCCCCCTATGGCACAAATGGGATGATCCTTTGTTTCATAAACACATTTTCCCGCCACTGCCTCAGTTGAATCGGGCTCCTTCGATTGCATCATCAAATAGTCGACGGGTCGGGGTCACCCCAAGTATATCTGTTTAAATTCTTGCTTGTAATGTGGGTTTATGTGTTTGTGTGTGTAGGGCTCAGCGGTGGCTGTGAGTGTACAGGGTGATGGAGGGCGCCGCTACAATGATGGACAATGGCACAGCATCATAGCAACAAGGCGAGGGGCCGTGGGAACAATCGTTGTAAACAATCAATACAGAGGTAACTCTTCTCATATTCATACTGACCACTGTGTGTATGTTTTTCAGTGTGTGGGCGTATGAGTGTAAATGAGAGTGCATTTGTTTCTCGTCCATACATGCGAGGATGTGCACCTATGCTTGGATATGAATAGCTTGT